TAATCAAGCCAACTCCTACCCTATTTAATTTAGAACCTAGTTAAAGCTAAATTCTAGGTTGGCTGGTCATCATATTTGCTCCATGATTTGGGTCAAGTTTAATAAAACTAGTTTATAAGTTCAAAAATTTATTGTCTTTTCTTTTAATTATAAAAAACCCAAGAAATATAGTGTACTAGGAGATGCATTATTCATTTAAAAAATGTATTTTTCTAGCACTTATTTTTTTATATATATTTTGATTTTTCAATTTCTTTGTATTACAATGATCCTTCAAAATTGCTTTAATATGTGATTGATCTTGGTATTTTCTTTTCCATGTATGCGAGGATCTCAAGGCATAAAAATAAAATAAAATTATGCGTAATTAAATCTTAGTTTTGTGAAACAAATGTCAATTTTACTGATTTACAATAATTAGAGCTTATGGACTGAATTTAAAACTTAAAGAAAAGTCCACTCTTTTTTCTTTTTTGCTAAAATTAGGGACAAATTCGCAAGATCAAGGGCAAGTTCATGTACATTTAGTATTTTTTTTAGTTCCTCAATTTTTTATTTTCAATTTGATCTCATTACACTAACTTTATTTGAGATTTGATTTGGTAATTTATTTTGGTTATCATAATTAACTTTTCTTTTTAAATTTGGTCCATTTAGTGTCACTTTCTTTCATCATATAATTAAATCTAACCATCTTATTTGATCCAAAAATTATTTGTTGTAGTGCTCAAAATATTGTTTTTTTAAATTAAAAGAATATACTAGCCTGATCATGACAAAGTGCTGGTCATCTATCGAGTACGTACGAAGCAACATTCAGCTCCTTTGACTACCACAGCCAATCTTTTATAATTTAAAGTTAGGAGGGCTGCCTCAGGAAGTTAGTTCAGATTTGCTAGTAAAAAATAATGGAGGCTGAGGTTTCAATCTTGAGTTGTGTCGTTGGATATTTTATAAGATGTCATGCGCTCCATTGCATGCTATCTGAGGTATAGTTTATTGGATAGAAAATAATTTTTAATTTTTTTATGTTGTTT